CACAATGTATGAATTTACTCCGGAAAAACATGTTCAAAAAACAAATATACAAATATATATATTTGTTATATATATAATATATATATATATATTTGTTTTGTTATTTTTTAACCATTATTTGGCCGTTATCCAATTTTCATAACTTTCAATCGCCCAATTGTTTTTTTGTCGATGACATGGTGTTGAAGCAAAAAGCGTTTTAAAAATAAACGATTTAAATTGAAAAAATTTTAAATTTTAAATTTTTATCAGGGATATAGACGGTTCTTCCGATAAAATTTTATCCGGCAAAAACTTTTTGTAATGAAAAGGAAAAACTTTTTTTTTAAGAAAAATTTAAAATATTGAAAAGAAGAATTTTAAAAAAAATGTTTTATTTCATCTAAAATATAAAAGAATTTTCGTTCAATACCGGGTTCTAAATATATAATAGGATATTATCATAGATATTTAGAACAAAAATATTTATTAAAATTGAAAAAAAATATCCCTTGTTATAATTGTTTTAATTAGTTATTTTGATATAGACTTTTTATTGAAAATTTATAATTGCAAAAAATATATTTTAAAACAATAAATATATAAAACGAGGATTATGGAAAAAGGCATTTTTTACCAATTTGAACAAATCTATGTTAAATTTTTTAATATATAAGTTCTACGGGGTTTTTTTTATTTTTGATAAATTTCTTGTCATTTTGTCATAAATATAAATACGGAGGTTTAATGGATAAAATGTAAGAAAACAGGAATCGAGAATTTAAGTTCAAAAAATTTATATAAATTTCCATTTTTTCATTTAAGTTTTGATACCACCCTTCCTTAAAAGGATGATATAAATATGAATTTTTTTTAAATATAAAAAAGGATTTTATTATATAATGGATGGCAACTGGTTATAGGAGAAGGACAACTGTAATTCAAAAGGAATTTTATTGGGAATTAGAGAATGTTTCTCTTATTATTGGTTGGCAATCCATTTAAAACAGAAAAAACACAATAAGAAAAACAATTTTGATATAAATAGATTGCGAAGCATCAAGAATTCAGAATATTTGACAAGATTATGAACTACACCAATCAAAGTATTGGTGAGTTCAATCTCGGCTGAAAATGAAAAAAATGATGGATGTCTTACGTTACTTCAATTTTTTTGCCATAATATATCCCTTTTATTGTAACGGAATATAATTTTTTTAAAGACAGAACGCTTTTTTTTATTTCCACACATCCCAAATTTAAGATGAATTTCTGTATAGAATACATATTCTATACAAGATTTATCTGCAATCTCTTGTTTTGGTTTTTATTGAACCATTTGATAAATGGTCAGAACAGTTAATTTTCCCAATTTCCTTCTGCATTATTTTAGAAATTTAGCTGCCTGAGTAGATATTTATAAAAACCACTTTACATTTATTTATGTTTACTCATTAAAACTTCCTGATTATAATTTTTTTAAAGGTTAATAATCCTATTATAATAAAAATTTAAATATAGAACTGTCACTTCCATTATCTGAAGTCAGTTATCCATCTTTGAGAAAAATATCCAGGATTTATAGAAGAGGAATGGTATATATGTTTTTTCAGAACAGTCTTTAGTTGGAATAATTCGAAATGGAATTTTCTGATTAAATTAGAATTTCAAAAAAATTTTGACTAGGCAAGAAATATATGAAAAATAAAAATGCCGGATATTATAATATAAAATAAAAAAAATCTTTCAGGACGTCTTATATATAATTGTTGAAACTTGACTAATGCATGGAATAATAATGCAACACAAAATGTACTTAGAACAAAATGTATTGAAACAAGAAAGTGTACACAATATTTACATATAGTCTTTTTTTATATTCCTGGTAAGACCGTTCTAGAGAATGTGTTTGACTGATCGCAGTCGGGCAGAGTCTCTGGGTTGAATCTCTTGATTCCTCCCTCTCTTCCCGGTACCAACCATATTTATATGGTCGGTACTCCACTATGCAAATTAGGTGGATCCTACCACAACAGTCCCTAATCCCTGTTCTGCCAAAATTTACTTACATTTTTTTTCCTCTAAACCTGTAATTACCTTAACAAATATCCATTTATATACAAAGATTGCCCTCTTTCCTCATAATGAATTTATAGAAATTTAAACCGTTTCTTTCTGATATTAACTATAAGCGAACTTTATCTTTCGATTCTCTCTCAAACTTCGTCTTTTTACAAATGTTGTCTTGGTATTTTCCGCATCCTTCGAACAAAAAATAGTGGTATTTTTTGTAAAGAGAACTTTTATTTTCCTGATATTTGAAATATTAGCTTAGAATAAAGGCACAATGTTGAAAGTTACAGAGCATAAAAATAAAGGTTCAATTATTATTTTCAAATAGTAATGGTTCTAGTTTGAGACATTTTATTTTTAACCATTAACAACGATTTAATCCATTGATAAACATTTTTTATTTTTCCAATTTTTGTGAGCGTATTATAGATTTGAAACAAAATAAAATATATTTCCATTTCTGTGATCAAATCACTCATTTCGTAATTTAATGGAGAACAAGCTTGTTAACCAGAAACACAACGTCAAATATGACATGAGGTGAGAATCAGAACAAAAAATTAGTATGATGCGTTCAAAACGTTTTATATTTTTTCATGTATCGTTCGATTTTAATTTTTTAAAAAAGGCAATTTTTTTTTAGCTTTTAGCCATTTATTTTGAACAGATTTTTTTATCCAATGCTAAAGAGAACAATGGTAAACCCATATAATAACCCATAGATTTATATAGAAGAGAGAGATTCTTTAAACGTTTTTCTGTGTAAGGATACGAAATGATTGAAAAAATGGATTCGACCTGAATTCGAAAAGAGATGTTTAATGATATTTTTCAATATGATGATAAGTGCTGTCAGTCGTAATTATGTTCATTCGTTTTAAACTGGTTAAATCACGTCGAGGCGATGTTGAAAATTTTTTTGATGAATATAAATGATCGATTATAAAAATCAAACTATTCTCTCCTATTCTTCTGAATCTCAAAAAAATTGCTGTTTTGACCCATTGTCTTTAAAAACACATACATAAAGAAAATTGAAATAATCAAAAAATATAAAAAAGATTCAACAGGTTTCGAAAAATGTTTAAACCCCATCATTATTAAACCGGACCCTTCTAAATCATTTGGTTTTTCATATGAATTTGAGCGGAATTATTCAACTTTTCTTTTGACGATAATCGTCTATAATTAAAACAGAGAGTCCTTAAAATTTTATTTCAGGAAAAATCATTATAACGCCATTGCTACATATGGAAAAACATTATTAGAAGATTTTAAATTTTGAAAATAAAAAATATGATTATTCTTTATAAAATTGAGGCTGGAGATATCATTTAAATTGAATTAAAATAAATTTTATAAGATCAGAGAGAGAGAGAAAGATAAACCAGAGTTTAAAAAAGATTAAAAGATGATGTGTTAAGATAAAGAAAAAAAATAAAAGAAAAAAAAAACTTATTTTCTGATTTAAATATTTTTTAATTTAAATGTGTTTTGATGTATATAATTCAAAAAATCAACACACAATACACACACACATATATATGTTTAAAGAAAAATTTTTACACAAGCAACACATAATCAAATATTATTTAAAGTAATGAATTCAAAATACAAATCAAGAAAAAGAAATATCAACATATATATTTTTGTTTTGAAGTTAATATTCATCTATACATACACACTACCAATATAATACATGAAAATCTTAATATATTCGTATAACTTTTATTGTAGGTATAATATATATATATATAATATATATATATATATATATATATTATATATATATTTATATATATATATATATATATATATGATCTTTTTTATTACAAAATACTATTCAAAATTTTCAAATATTATTTTATTCATTTTTACGTTTGAAATATATATATATATATATATATTTACTTAAAATAAATATAAAAATGTTTAAAAAAATTTCTGTTAAGAATATATATATATATAACTGTGTCAAAAAAATAAAAGAAAAAAATCAATGTTTTGATTATATATAATATATATATATATATATCAATATGCCAATATATATATATAAATATATATATATATTTATATATATATATATATATATATTGTAAATTTATCAAATGTGTGTTTATTTTATGTGTACCCAATGAAAATATTTCAATGAACCATGCAAAATAAAAAAAATTTAAGGAGAGAAAAGCCCAGAAAACAATTTAAAATTTAAATTCAAAAAAATATAGGTAAAAATATGGAAAAAAAATTCAAATAAATGAGAAAAAATGTTTCCATGCATTGTTGAAATATATAAAATTTTTGAGAAAATATAAATATAAAAAAAACCGAAATTTTAAATGTTAAAATTTATTTTTAAGCACACACACACACACATTTCAAAGAGAAGATATACAATATATATATATAACGCATTATCTTAAATATTATTAAAAACATTAATGCAATATATATATAGATTTATATAAATATATATATATATATATATATATATAAATATCATTTATTAAAAAATTTAAAACCTGTTTTAAATGAAATGTTACGAACGTTGGAAAAAATTATTGTTTGTTTTTTCAAAATCACATTTATATATATAAATATAATTATATAGAGAAATTAAGAAATTCAAAAAGATTGAAAGAGTTTTAATTAAAATAATTGAAATTTTAGTAAAATAAATAATCAATTTTAAAAATGAAAAATAGTTGTTAAAAAAGAATAATATATAAAAAATATATATATATTTAAAAAAAGAAAACAAAATAGATAAAAAACTGATGGGAAAAATTTTTAATTAAAATGGACAAATTCAGATAGATAGATGTTGAGACAGACAGACCTGGGCTGAACATTTCATAAATTAAAGGTTGAGCAAATAAAAGAAATAAAGGAAGAAATTTCTTTTTTTTATGAAAAAAAAAAGAAAAAATGAAAAGGAAGCCGTTTTATAAAATAGAAAAATAAATACATGCATAAATATGCATAAGAAATTGAAAAATAAATGAATTGCCATTGAAAAGAAAAAAAAGAAAAGAGAGAAAGAAAAAAAAAAAAGAAAAGAAAGAAAGAAAGAAAGAAAAGAAAGAAAAAGAAAAGAAAGAAAAGAAAAAAAAATAAAAAGAAAGAAAAAAAGAAATCCCAAAGAAAAGAAAGAAAAAAGTAAAGAAAGAAATAAATTGTAAATTAAAAAATTTGATTTTTTGAAAAAATCCTGAAGAAAAAAAAGAATTTTTTATAGAAATAAATTGAATATATGCATGAATATGCAGAGAGAAAATAAATGAAAAAAGGAAAGAAAAAAGAAAAAAAAAAAAAGAAAAAAAAAAAAAAATAACAAAAATCAAAGCAAAGTAATGGAATATCTGAAGAAACTAGAAAAAAGAAAGAAAGAAAGAAAAAAAAGAAAGAAATCAAAAGAAAGAAAAAAGAAAGAAAAAAAGGGAAGAAATTTATTGGAGAAAAATGGTAAATTTTTTGAAAAATGGAAAAAGACGAAAGAACACGGTAGAGAAAAGAAAGAAAAAAAAGACAGATCCAAAAAAAAGAAAGAAAGAAAAAAGAAAGATAGAAAGAAAGAAAGAAAGAAATAAAAGACTAAAAGAAATATAGAAAGAAAAAAAAAAAGAAACAAAGAAAGAAAACAAAAATAGGAAAAAAGAAAAAAAAGAAAGAAGAAAGAAAAGAATTTAAAAAAAAGAAAGAAAAGAATATCAAAGAAAGAAAAAAGAAACAAAGATAGATTGTAAGAATTTAAAAAAAAAAAAAAAATGATTAAAAAGAAAAAATCTAAAAAGAAAAGAAAGAAAGGAAAAGAAAGAAAGAAAGAAAAGAAAAAAAAGAAAGAAAGAAAAGAAAGAAAAGAAAGAGTTTAAAAAAAAAAAGAAAGAAAGATTGAGGAGAAAATTTTCAAAAAAAAATGAAAATTAAAAAAAAACGAAAGAAAAAAAACAAAAGTTTAAAAAATGAATGAGTTTGAAGTTTCAGAAATTTGAAAATGAAGTACAAATAAAGTAAAGAATATGGATGGACAAAAAAGAAAGTGAATCGAATAATAACAGAAGGAAAGAAAAAATAAAGCAAGAAAGAAAAGGAAAGTTGTTATATTCTGAAGGAAAATCTACAAATAAAAATCCTCAGAGCGAGTGAAATTAAAAAGAAAATATAATCATCAATGCAAGAAAGACTAAAAGCAGAAAGAATGAAAAAAAAATTAAAACTCGGGAGAGATATAGAGAGAAGAGAGAAATTTTTTTTTAAACTATATTGTGAATGAAAGATGAAATGAAAATGAAAAATAAGGAGAATTCAAAACGAATATAAACCACCATCTTTTCTATTAAAACATCTAAAGAAATCAAAAAAAAAAAAAAATTGAAAATATGAAAAAACAATCAAATAGAAAAATTTACATATAAAATTTTTGAAAAAAAGAATATTCCTTAGAATTATCGAGATTTAAAAATTAAATTATTTTGTCGTTCAAATTTGATAAATTTTTCGCCATTGCCCTGATTTATATATGAAAAATAGTTTTATTAAAAGCTAATAATCAGACACCCAATTTTCCTTTATCATTGCTTTTAGATATTTTTTTTGAAAAATGCAAGTTTTTCGTTCTTTTCTCAAGCAAAGAATAAAAATACTTCGGCTTGTCATAATGAGCCTATTGTTCGCGTTAAAAGTAGTTTTCGACATTCTTGAACCATTATAAACGTAAAAAAAAAAAATATGGCGACATGTTATCATATATCTATGTTGATAATTTAAAAAATTTTTATATTTCCTTCTACAATTAAAATTATTTGAAATTTCAAAAATTTTTCAGATTGTAATATTTTCTTTGTTTTAACATTTTTCTTTTCTTTTCGTTTTTTTTTTTTTTTTTTTTTGCTTTTGTCGTCTTTAAATACTAAAAGCGTGCAATGTACGTCCTGGGTCGAAGATAAAATGAGAATAGATTAGAAGGTGAATTTTTATGAGTGGGGAGCTTTTATTTTCTGAAGAACAACTTATTTCGCAAACGTGAAAAATAATTATTCAGACTTTCATCCCCCTTTTCGAATGGTTCATATGTTCATCTATCTTCAAATGCGTTTTATATCTAAAATATCTATCTATATATATATATATATATATATATATATATATATATATGTTTGGGATAATGGTGTGTGTATTGATGTCAGTTATCTCAAATTGTACCTTTAAAATTTTTTATTTTTTTCAACACACACATATATATATATATATATATATATATTCTTTCTCAATCTGGAGGTTAATATACAAATAGAATTAAACAATTTTATTTTCTTTTCTTGAAGATTTTTTGGTTGGTTCAAATACAGGATTTCTGTCTTCAAAATTTCAATGTTTTTTGAATGGTTCAACTATAATGTTTTTTCTATTTTTCTAAAAACGATTTTTTAACCCCTTGTCTCTTAGTGGTTTTATCACCTTTCTTGGGATGAAATGATTCTTCTTCTTCTTCTGAATAATGATAATAATAATCAACTAGTTTTAACACCTGTCTATATTTCTGAGATGAGGTATTATGTACATTATTTACATTATTCGGAATATTGTCCTCATCTTTGACGCAATATTTATTACATCGTTTCGGCCATTCAGTATCTGTCTATATTTACACTTAATGAGGTAAAATACATTATTTACATTATTCGGAATATTGTCCTCATCTTTGACGCAATATTTATTACAACGTTTGGAATTCAGTATCTGTCTATATTTCTGAGATGAGGTAGTTTGTACATTATTTACATTATTGAATATTTCTATTTTTTTTAAAAATTATGTTTATTTATTACAACGTTTCGAATTTAAATCTGTCTATATTTCTGAGATAAATATATTATGTCTCAATTATTTACATTAAAAAAAATTATTGTATCAAATGTTTGTAGAAATATTTATTATTTCTTTTCGGTCGCAAACGAAATTTATTATTCAGTGGTTGGAATCTGACGAGAATTATTTCACTGATTTTCCCCAAACTGCATGAATTTAAAATCTTGTTACTAGGTTGGCATCTCAGTCCCTTTTTTCCCGCGAAACGTTTAATTTAATTGTCATTTATTATACTCCAACAATTTTATCTCGCACTTCTCAAAGTGGAACTGTATTTCCTGTCACTTTGCTTCCCTGATAGCTATAATCTTCAAATATTGGAATGTAATGTCAATCGATATCTTTGATTTTGACGTTGATGGGATCAAGTTGAGATCATAGACAAGTTTTTACTGGAAAATTGTTAAACTTAAGGAATCAGCACATATGCTAGGCCACAAAAATCTCCTGAGCAGACCAAACATAGAAATGAAAAAATATGGGAACCAGTAATAAGGAGTGCCAGAGAAAAGCGATAATAACAAAAAAAGTTGCAATATGAGCTCTGGTATAAAAACATGAAATGATAACAGCAAAATTGCAATATGAGCACTGGTAAAATGGTTGCTGAAGACATGGTTTTTATAATATAATTTTCAGAAATTTCATACACATAATTTTCAAGGACACATGGCACAGTGGATAAGAACCCAAAGAGTGTGAGTCAAATACCCGGTTAAGGCAGTGAAGAACTTTAGAACTAAATTAACAGGAGATAACGGATAACTGACATCCATTTAAAAAAAATATTATAACGTGGATTTAGAATAGTTTACCCCAGTGAGCGAAATAAAGGGTTCAGTTCGACATTCCAACTTGAAGAATAAATGCGTCGAAAACGTTTTCGTAATTCACAAACGTTAATTGATGCAGACAATGGCCATAGGACAACTAATCGACACATAAAAACAATAGTGTATGAATAAAAAATAAAAATTTGATAAAAAATGAGAACGTCAATAAAATGAATTTAAAAATAAACTATACACCATTGTGCAAATTAATTGAAACAAAACGAATAATTCCGTTATTATTTACTTTTTTTAATATTTTTCCAATGAAACATGACCAAGTGCACATATTATTACTTAGCATGTTCATTCCACGAAGTCGTTTCTTGCAGATTGACTACAGGTTCTCGATTGGATTTAAATCAGGAGAGTTTCCGGGCTAATCTATAGTACTTTGATTTGCTCACTGGTAAGACTTGTCAGTGTGTTCGTGCAGCCCTACAATTTTCGTACGCTTCCTAGAAGTAACGTCCATCGCAGACAATAGCTGTAGGACAACTAATCGACAGTTGAGACAATAGTGTCTGGGCGTGATGAAAATCTGATGCAATCACGGATGACGCAATATTTTTTAAGGCCAAACAAATTTCATCATACATCCAGAAAATAAATTCATATTATTCATATTACTGCAAATGACTAATCTGAGGAAAAATAGAAATGATTACACATTATCTCCAGTGGGTCTAAAACTGACCGTATGGTAGAAAAAGAAACTTCCCTGTCAATTGATTTCTAAAATTGATTTGAAATGAAGGAAACTAAATATATATAATTTTATAAATAATTTATAAATTATAAAAAAAAAAATATCTCAATGAAATCTCTTTTTTATTTTCAACCAAATATTTTAAAAAAAATATTAAATTAAATTCCTTTACAAACTGATTTTTTAACCAATTTACACAATTCTATTCAAGAACTAGAATCCAACAATCTATGTAAATATATGATAAAAGTTGAATATAGGTGTTGATATGAAATATATAAACAGAAAAAACAATCCATGAAACAATCAACAATTGTTCTTTTAGAAAATGTTGAATAAATGGACCCAATTTTTTGAATTAAAAAGGAAAGCTAAAATGCAACATGACAATGCTTTTTTTGTTTTTTTAACGTTTTATTTAAAGACCAAACATATAATTTTTTTTATTTTAATTTAGGGAAAATGAATGCCATACTTTTTATATTTTACAAAATTAAAAATTGTCATCTGTTGTTTTTTTTTTTTTAAAAAGGGTGTTTCATTTAAAGCAACAAATGATATCTTAAATTTGATGCATTTATATTTTGAAATATAAAGTAAATTTTTCATTTCGTTTGCAATAATTGAATATTAAGTTTGTCGTTAGCATCAATTTTCAAAACAAATGTTGGTTTTTTTTATTGATTTATCAGAATTATTAATGAATGTTTATTCTATTTAAAATTTTTAAAAAACCGAACGAATTCATCTTTTTAATACATTGTTAATTGAGGATTATGAGAGAGTTGTGATGAAATTGAAAAGAAATCAAATTTATTATTTAGCACTTTTTTTAAAGGGTTTGGTATATTTTGGATAATTTAAACACAACATCTAATTTGGGGACCAGATTAAAAATTCCAATTATATTTTTTTATAGAAGGAATATTTTTTGTATATTTTTTTTTATTTTAATATGGGTTATCAAATGTATAAATGAAAATTACATCATTTTTGAAAATTTTAGAACTAATTTGATTAAGGATATCCCCATTTTGAAATGTATTTTTGAAAAAAACCTAATTTAAAGGCGATTGATTGATTTATAGCAGAAAGGAAAACGGTTTATCAATTTTGTTTAAACTGGTTATTTAAAGACGGATGTTACAAACAATTGTATTTTATATTTTTACGGATAAATATGCGTCAAAAATTTATTTAAAAAACAATTTTTAAAAGTTTTTTTCAAATAAGTTTAAATTTAATTTACATTAGCTGTATCAAATCAGAGTTCGATAGATACCATTTTTACTCCAATTAATCTTCCATGAAAAATAAAACATCTTTGATAAAATAAAAAAAAGATTATATTGAAAAGGTGAAATGTTTACAATTTAATTTCAAAATTGAAGAAAAATATCTTTGAAAATTGCCATATTAAAATGATTAAACCAATCAAATTAAAAAAGTTCCAATTTTGAAAATGAAAAAAATTAAACAATTGAATAACTGCAAGTAAAAATTCACAAAAAATCCAAAAAAAAATATTTGAAATTAAAAAACGGAAAGATTTGGTTTTTTTTTAAAAAAAAAAAAAAATGAATTTATAAATTTTGTCGATTTGAAAAATTTATTTTTTTACTTTTTGAAGAAATGTTCGTAGAATTCGGGGAAAAAGAGGCCAAAAATTTATTACTTAAAAGATACAAAAAAAGAAGTTTTGAAAATATATTATTGAGACGTTTTTACTAATAATTAAAATTTTACAAATTTTGGTAAAAAAAAGAAGGATCTTGATAGTTTGCTATATATGAAAATTTAAATAAAAAGCGAAAGGCACTTGAAAAAGAATTTTAGGGAAGGTGATTTTATTAGTTTGAAAATAGCGTATAAAAATGAAAAATTCATAGAACAATTCAACGAATAAGGAACATCTTAAATAGAAATAAAAAGATAAATTAGTTTGATTTGAAATATACATAGAATAATGAAGAAAGTCGATGAGAATAGAAGAAAAAAAAGACAGTGAAAAAAAATTTAAATTTTTATTTAAGAAAGAATGAACATTGGTTTATCAAAATTTATAAAATATTCAAAAGTGAAAATAATTCATTTAAGAAACTCAATCAATATAGGAAGGCCCAAAAGTATATCAGATGAAATGATGTGTTAAAAACAACGAAAATGAAGATAATTGTCGGAAAAATATATCGAATATGAAAATATTTCATATGAGAATTTTATATCTCTCAATACAGGAAGGAAATAAATAATAGATGATAAAAAATTTTGAATGTGTTAAAAACAATGAAAATGAAGATAATTGTCGGAAAAATATATCGAATATGAAAATACTTATATATTAAAAATTTCAGAAAAAATAAGTAACATAATATCAAAATATATCAGATGAAATTTGTTTAGTATTGAAAAACAAACAAAGAATGAAAGATGCTAAATTGAAAAAAAATATATGGAATAAAAAAATACAAAAATATGTGAAAATTTTCAAACCATGCAATAATCCAAAGATATCAGATGATATGTGTTAAAAAGAACAAAGATGGATATATCTGTTTTGAAAATACTATGGAATCATGAAAAATGGTTAATAGGTTTTATGTAATTTTTTGCCTCTTATTCACCTTCTACCATATCACATATTTCCATCCTTCTTCGTCCTGACACCTCAATGGTCTTTGGGACACGAATTGCAAAGGGGAAAATTTTTTAATAATATCAACCGAAGGTAAACTATTAATCGTCATGAACCGTAATTTAATTCATGTATAATACGATTCTTTTTGAAAAGAATATTGTGTTGAAAATCATTGTTCATATTATATTTTTTTAATTGATATTTTAAAAAAATTAACGTAAAATAAAATAAGAAAAAACATAAAAGTAAAAAGAGATTTATTCATTCTTATGAAATAAAACCATTTTAAAAAATAAAAGAATATTCCTTTTCCCTCCTGTTGGCACATCGCCCAATTTTTTCACTGTAGAAACTTTTAAATGTTCCAAAATCTCTTTATATCAATCACTTCAAAATTCAAAAACCTGTTCGCATGTGGATTTCATTCCCAATTATGTATTCCTGAAATATTTATTAGAAATAAACTATTAAAATGTAATTTCAATCAGGATAAATTGAACAATTTATATTGATATTATCCATGGATAATTCATTGATTTCTTCAAATCAACCCTATTTGTTTAATCCAAATCTTCTGCTGACAATGTTAACATTCTAGTGGCTTGAACTAGATTTTTGCTTGAGGCGTAATGATTTAAAAAAATTAAAAAATGAACAACAATCTGGTTTTAATGAAATTGGAGAAGTAAAATTTATAGGTTTGATAACCAAAGAAAGAAAAATATTTGGCCGTTAGTACCGATTAAAAGAAAGCTGGCCTCCAATCTGTAGTTAACTTCAGGAAATGCTTGTAAATTTAATGACAGCTTAAAAGAAACTCATTGAAATTTACCCAACGGAGAGAACCTCCCAACCTCCTATCAGTATGCCTGATGCCCAACTGGTACAAAGCACTTGTCTGCGCCTGCTTGGTATTGAAACGTTGTCCACTGACAAGAAATGGAAGAAAAACATTGAATCAATAGCTTCATCTACCGCAAGGAATGTCAAGATTCTGTGTCATACAGGAAAAGTTTTTTCTCGCCTGAGTCCATTTTTCAAATCTACAAATCAACCATTCTTCCTTGCATGGAATACTGTTGCCATATATGGTCTGGTGCTTGCGCTGTTCATCTTGAGGTCCTCGACAAAATCCAGAGATGGATATGCATTGTGATAGGTCCTCATCTGGCATCTCGTCTACGGTCACTTTCTCACAGACATGCTGTGGCTTCCCTCCGTCTTTTCTATAAATATTTTCATTGCAACTGCTCTGACGAGCTACTTTCACTGGTTTTCAAACTGCATGAATTTAAGCGTGCTACTAGGTTGGCATATCCGTCCCAGACTTTCCCTGTCGAAACGTTTAAAAGTAGCCGTCTCTTCTACTCCAACAGCTTCTTATCTCGCACTTCTCGTCAGTGAAACTACCTTCCTGTCATTCGCTTCCCTGATATCTATAATCTTCAAATATTCTAATGTAATGTCAATCGACATCTTCTGATGTTTGTTGGAGCGACAACTTATATTTTTACTTATATGATCTTGTACAAAATTTGCTTTTCTTATATGTTGATTAATTTTCGGTTGCCCAAATTTTTCTTTGGTTAAAATGTTCTTTTATATAACGTTTACTAAGAATTATTAGCAAGACATTAAAAAAATTCACCAGTTCATGTTCATGGGGAGAAAATGGCGCAGTCTATTTGCCCTACACCTTCGAATATTAGTAAATATATAAAGCAGTCGCGCATTTTTTTGCAATCTACAAGGAGGTGCTGAAAATCCCATTTTGCCAGAAGTGCGAAATGATGACAAATTAATTAGAGTAGAAAAAGAAATTAAATATAGGATAAGTTTATTTCCAGGGTAGTAATATAAAGATACAGCCAATTGCATTAAAACCAAAATATTAGCAGAAAAAACTCGAGCCATTTTCTTAAAGAGCCTCGTCAGATCGAGACTTTAATGTGGATGTCACGAATGACGCCATACCCGTTCAGAAATATATATAAACTGTCAGCTGTATACAACCGATTTCAAAGATCAATGGTGAACAAAAAGCGTTGAGGGAGAGAAACGTGAGGGTCTTGGCAATGATCATACTTCATTGAACCTTGTGGACTGGTGTCGAAGAATCACAAACAAAGAACTGCAACAAATAACAGAAACCACATCACTTGAGGACTTCCAACAGCAGTAGTAACTAAAATGGATAACCCATGTAACTGAAAGAGAAAATAATGAAGCCTGAGTGTCTTGGGAAAGATCATCCTTCTTTTAACCTTGTGGACTGGAGCTACAGAATCACAATCAAAGAACTTTACCAAATAACAGAAACCACATCACTTGAGGACTTCCAACAGCAGTAGTAACTAAAATGGATAACACATGTAAATGAAAGAGAAAATACTGAAGCCTGACTGTCTTGGGAAAGATCATCCTTCTTTTAACCTTGTGGACTGGACCTACAGAATCACTAACAAAAAACTGTACCAAAACAACAGAAATCAAATTACTCGAGGTCATTCATCGACAATAGCAACTAAAATGGCTAGTAATTTTCTTTGTCCAAGAACGTTTTGGCAAATTTAAACCGAGCAACAACGCGACATGGTCTGACGTGGTTTGTTTCCATACAAACCATTTCTGGTTAAACATCGTTGTATTGTGCGAGTAATTACGCTTATACCCATCTTATCCAGACTTTTGGTAATGTCTTTCAAAACAATCCTTAGATTTATATTAATCTCACGACACAGTTTGCGTGCAGTTCTTAGTGATAATGGCTTATCTCAAACACATGTCATTCATTTATTTATATAATTATTAACCAGTTAGCATGATTTGGAATTGATATGAAAGCAGTGATGGAATCTACACTGAATCCATTATAAAAATTCAGGATGAGGATTTAATAAACATTAAACAGTTCAAATAACTCGGTGTCTGGATCATTAATAACATATTTAGTATCGACGATGTGGAAGTCGAATATAGCATAGCCTGCGCCAGGATACTTTCTCCCAATACAGCCAATTGCTACAAAACTAAAACATTAATCTGAAAACACAAGTCATGTTCTTAAATAGCCTCAGAAGATCGAGGCTTTCATGTGGATGCCACGCATGACACCAAACCTGTTGAGAAATATCTAAACTGTCAACTGTATGCAAAAGATTTCTAAGATCAATGGTGAAAAACAAGCATTGAGCGAGTAAAGCCCGTAGATCTACGTAAGGATCATACTTCTTTGTAGACTGGCGCTAGAGAATCACAAACAGAGTATTGTAACAAATAGTAGACACTGCATCACTTTAAGACTGCCAACAGCAGCAACAGCTAAAATGGAGAGTACAGGCAACTCAAAGAGAAAATAATAGCATAGTCATGATGTTAACATTCCATACTACTTAAAATAAAAGGTTAGGAAGGAAACCTTCATCAATGATGAAACGAGCTCTAAAAGTAACGGGATAAACCTGTTTTCTTTTAAAAAGAGAGAATTTCAGGAGAAAGATTTTATAAATATAAAATGAAAGAAGTACTGGCTGCAAAGTCAAATGTTTCCTTAGTGGGAAACGGCTAATATCAACAATTAATGTAAATAAAAAAAAATGTGAGTGCCGTAGCCACTCGAATCCGAGGATGTCAGTCTACTAAGGCGGCTAGCTAATCCCCATTGCAGACGTCCTCTCAGGCACGTTTGTGTTTGTTCAACGCCCACAGAGCCCATGTGTGGTTGTTACTGCAAGTATGCTGAGGGGGGGATCTTAATTACAGTTTCTGGAAGAGAGCGTGTCAACAGAGTGAACGAGGCTAGCACGCTCAAACGCTCGGTCACGATGACTTGTGACTTCGTGCTAGCACAACCACAGTCAGAAACCAAGGGTTCCGTCAACCCAGTTTCACTCACAAGGCTTGAGCGGTATGGTTTTCAGACACTTTCCAACGGTGCCACACGCTTAGATCGTCTCCTCCAAGCCGATAACTCACCTTCCCGATAAATCGACCCCGGGTCTCATGATCAAAAAGCGAAGGTTCTAACCACGTGCCCATATTACACTTACAATTACCATATGCATATAGATATGCATTTATATGTAGAGGCGTAAACGTGCATACATTTGTCTAATTTCATTTGATTAAGAGCATAAGGTTAGACTTAAAGATTTTTATATAATAGTAAGAATAATGAAGCTATTTTTTTAAAAAAGTAATATAAGTGGTAAGGTTTAGTTTTCGAATTATGGGATTAGTATTTAAAACGTAAAACACTGGATTAAACTATGCAATAACTAGTACAGCTTACCTCGTTATGCATTCCGGGGAAATAGCTCAAATCAAAATCGGATGAAGCAAAAGACAAGACTATATAGAAGGGAAGGGTGAAAAGCCTTTACTTCATTGGCTGATGTTGACTGACGTCCACTTTATCTCGTTATCAATTCCGGTGAAATAGCGTGAATCAAGACCGGATGAAGCAAAAGACAAGACTATAGAGGAGGAAAGGGAGAAAAGCCTTTACTTCATTTGGTGATGTTGACTGACGTCAAGCTTACCTCGTTATGAATTCCGGAAAAAAAAGCTCGAATCAAAACAAAATGAAGCAAAAGACAACACTATATAGGAGGGAAGGGTTAAAAGCCTTTATTTCATTGGCTGATGTTGACTGACGTCCATCTTACCTCGTTATGAATTCCGGGGAAATCGCTCGAAACAAAACCGGATGAAGCAAACGCCAACACTATATAGAAGGGAAGGATTAAAAGCCTTTATTTCATTGGCTGATGTTGACTGACGTATGTCAATACGAACGGTCGGACTCCTAGCTATATACTTTTTTTTTTTTTTTTCAAATGTCGAGGCGCGTAGACCGACGCTACCAAGGAGGCGGCCAAACTTTTTGGGAATCAAGTCAGGGTTTCTTTTTGAGCCGATATGATGTAAAACCCGAAATCGGCGATGAAGACAGTGCATCATTGAAGACTACCCTTGATGCATCTGAAATGTATTATTCAACGATATATGT